CACCCAGAAATTGTTCATCACTCTCTTCAAAGCATAAAAGCTTCCTAAAGATTCCCAGCTAAGTCCGAGCTGGCCTGAAATGCACATTCTTGCAGGTACTGAAGAATAGAAAAGGCAATTTCTTCCTGAGATAATTCCTGAAACAACAAACACAGCAAACCTGTCTGCCTCCAGCTCTGCTGCCCAGCACAGTGAGACCCTCATGGCATTAAATTTGTCAGGAAATCATTCATTAAAGGTAGAACAAGTAGAACATTACATTACAAAGTGATCATCTTGCAGAAAATTAGGTTTGTGCTCATTTTGCCAGAACCAGGAGAAAACCAACATTTCATTTTTCCTGCGCTCCAACTCCAGAATTCTTCCTAAGAGTGGAAATTCTGCACCAAAATCACATGCTATTTACACCTACAAACACATCAGCCAGCAATTCAGCTATCAAAAGTGAAAATGCTAAACTAAACCCACGTGGAACAAATTACTCAAACCACCCTTAGGCCAAGCCTGGGTGCTGGTGGAAGGGCTGCCATCCCTGTTTGCTGTGCCCAGCTGCCAGAGGAAGCTGTGCTTATTATCTCAGCACACATGGTGCCTAAACTGCACTTCTCCTTCAGGGACTGGCAGCCTCTTTACCGTCTGGAGCAACTGCATCAGCATTCAAACAAATAGTTTGTGATTGTTTCTGAGTCAGGTACATCCTACCCACCTTCATCTTGGCTCATTCAATTCTATTTTTCCTTATCTCACCAGACACAGAATATGGTACAGGTAAATAACAATGGTGAAGCAAACTTGACATGAACAGATCTTAGATCTGTTTGAAGATTTAAGGATATACTTCACATTCTGCAGTTTGATTTATAAGTCTGCAGATGACTGAGACTTGGCTTTTCAGAGTAATTAACAGTGCAGAGCACAAAGTGTTCAAAGCCCAGTGCCTGTTGACTTTTGCTGCAGCTGGGAGTCCTCCACACTGCTGAATGTCTCAGCTGAGTCAGCCAGAACTGCGATTACATCACCAGTGACCACCCAAGGAAAGCTTGTGCAAGTCACTTGCCCAGAATCAATTAATAAAACCACAGGCAAGAAAAGGCACAACCCAATTCTCTGGACAGCATCCACGAGATTCTCTTCCACATAGTCCCCATTTTACAGTTTTCCTGTTTCTGCAACTGAACAGACCCTGTCTATACACATAGGCTCCCTCCCTACACATCCCTGATGCATCCACAGGCAACAAGAAATGAATCCAAGCTGTCAACAGCAGCACGAGACTGTGCTCTTGTTGAAGTGAATACCAGCACAAATACACACAAAAGCTTCAAATGACAACTGCAGCTACAAACATTAACTTTGGTATTTCTAGTATTTTCTAATTTATTTCTTTTTACTTAAAAAAAACCCAAAAAACAAAAAACAAAAACAAACATTTAATTCAGTGGCCTCAAAGCAAAAAGCTGAAATTACTGATTCCATCACAAGGAAACTCAAGTGTAACAGAAGTCTGAATCCCAGACCCCTGTAGTGCTTCTCTAACTGGAACAGCAGCAGTGCAAACAGGAGCTCCCTGTGTAGTTTAAGAGTTAATCTGTGCCTAGACAGTCCCTAATGCACAGGACAGACACTCAAATTGCAGTTGGGTTTCCCAAGTGCATGGTGAGGGGGCAGAAAGGCTCTCTGAGGTAAATGTGCTCCACCTTTCCCTGTGTCCCTCTGTCCTGCCCCAGTGTCCCAGCCCTCCTGCCACCCTACACAGCTGGTGTCCACTGGCACCAATCCCAGGCCTTTTCACCAAATATTCCTCACTTTCTCAGGCTCACAGCACTTTGCTCACCCTGTCTCGATTTCCTCTGTTCCCAATTCTTCTCCTCATGTGTTTGGTTGTTTCCTCATTTCAGTTCACCCTTCTTTTCCCATCACCTTCTGTACTGGGCTCAGCTTATTTACATTCTCTCAAGCATCCCAACCACAATCCAGCTTCTAGATTTATCAAATAATTAATTCCTTCTTTTAAGCAATCTGAAGATCCTTCAGAGAAGCAGCACTCAGTGCCAGTGGTTGCCGCTCCAGCATCCAGGAGAGGGGCTGTGCCTTGCCTTTGGGGGCTGTGCCCTGCTTTCACCCAGGAAAGTCTTGTGCCAACTGCTATCAAACACAAAGGCACAAGTGGAAGTCCCTGCACCACTGTTTTAAGGTGTACAACATCCTCAGACAAGACCTGCCCAGAATTCACATCCTAAAACACTGCAAGTGATAAATAAAAAATGAGTGCATCAGTCTGAGGCCGACAAACAGCATGAAAACTTCCTTCTAAAGAAAGGGCAGAGGAAGAGGGTTGTGAGGTGGGAAAAGATCAATAGGGGGTTACTCCTCCTGCCCATGACTGGCAGGCATCAAACAAACGTGGCAGGCAGCTTGTGGAAGCAAATTCTGTTTGAAACCCTGCAGCCAGGGCTGGCAGTGCCCTCAGCCCCTGAGCCCACATCTGCATGGGCAGGAACGCTGTCCTTTGGCTGATTGATGCCAGGAAATCACTACTGACTGAGAAAGGATCTGTCCAGCCCATGTCCTGAGCCCAGAGCAGCCCGAGCCATGTGTCACAGGTCTCTGCTGTCCCCTGGATGAGCTGTCACTCTGTTTGACAGGCACTGCCTGCAAGCTTGTGATCAAATCTGAGCAGAAAAACAGATTCTTGGAGGCTTTGTCTCCTCTCTGTTGGTCATCCCTCCTTCCCTACACCTCTCCAGCATCAAGCCCCTTCTGCACTCACATAATGTTCCCTATTTACCTTTTATCTCACCCTTTCTAAATAACTGCAACCTCTCCTTTTATTGTAGATGCTCTCCCAATATAGGGAATGACTGTTTTGTTCATGTACCAGCAAACCACCACACCACATGGATTTCAGTATTTCTTTTCATTAAATGCCTCCAGGTGCTTAATGACTTTTGTTTTCACCCAAGTAGTCATGCAAAACTTTTCTGTGTTTATTCTCATGTGCTTCTCTATGGCACAAACTGTTCATTTCTCCTCTGAAAAGCAGAACAGAACCACTTTGTAAGCAGAGATTCTTTTGTAACAGTCAGCACACAGTCTGTATTCCTCAGCTTCAATTTCTCATAACTCATTTTTCCTCAGTCAATTTGGCTGCTGCTGTCAGCTCCCAACTGAACAAGAAGCTGTATAAAAAACCAAATTGCATTCTCTACATTCTTGCTACCTATTTTATGAAATTATGAAAAAGCAAGTCTGGGGTACAGATTTCTAGCTTTCCTAAATTGCTTACTTAGTAGCAAACATTCTTGTAATGAAGTCCTACACCTTGAGGAGTAATAGAGTAACACAACAGACTTCTAATTCATATGTGGGAGAAGGAAAATTAGCATCATATGATGCTTGTTTGATGTCCCATGACAAGTGAGTTTCCTGGTTTGTGATGGGTTTTCATCAAAAAAAAACAGGCTTAGGTCTTTTTGGCAGCTTTGTCAGAGAAGGTTCTGCCTACCCATGCTAATGAAGAAAGGTAGGAAGGCTGAATAAAAGATCTTTAATTAATACTGAAACAGAGTGAAATGTAGGTCACCTTTAATAACTGTGTTAGAGCAACAGCTGAGCGTTTCATTTTTGTAGAACAGTTTGTAAGTCAAGTGTTCTTACCAGAGAAATTTGGGTTACAAGGGAATACTGAGTTAGGGGGAAAAACAAGAACAAGTTGAATTCAATGTTCCTTGGGGTTCTTATGCCCAGAGCAATAGAAGGACACACAGACAATGAGAGGGCTGGAGCCCCTTGGCTACTGAGAAAGGCTGGGAGAGCTGAGGGAAGAGAAGGCTCTGGGAAAACCTTAAAACCTTTTCCTAAAGGGAAAATACCTAAAGGGGCTCCAGGAGAGCTGGAGAGGGACTTTGGACAAGGGTCTGGAGAGACAGGATATGGGGGAATGGCTTAAAACTGACAGAGGGCAGGGTTGGGTGGGATATTGGGAAGAGATTCTTCCCTGTGAGGGTGGGGAGGTCCTGGCAGAGATTGCCCACAGAAATTGTGGCTGCCCCATCCCTGGAAGTGTCCAAGGCCAGGCTGGATGGAATTTGGAGAAACTTGAGATAGTGGAAAATGTCCCTGCCCAAATCTGGTAGGATTGCTTTCACCCCAGAACACCCCACAATCTTACAAATTTATGCTTTATCATGGTAAATTTTGCTGTGTACCAGTATTTCTACAGCAACAAGGAGTGGGTAAGTCCAGTGACCATGCAAATATTGGAATTTCTACTCTGTAGACTCTAAAAGCTGGCTGGATGTCAGAAAACTCAGTATGAAAAGAACCTAAATAGGAAAAGAATTGATCTGCATTCCCTGTGGACTAATCACAAGTAAAATGGTTTAATGTAACAGTATTTCAGGCCCACAGTAGTGTGAAGTCATGGACACAGAAATAGATGGTTCCAATTCCTAGAGGTAGTAAAGGCAAACAAGTCTATAAAACAAGCATCTGATTCCACAACACAAGTCACAAAAATGTTAAAGAACTAGAAATAACAATGTGCAAGACAAGATACAGAAGGTAGAATCAGCAGAGACAATGTGCTCTGATGTTCTAATTCATTATAAAAGCACCTTTCCAAGCTAAAATGATGTCCCTCTATCTCATGGGGAAATCATTGACTGGAAATAAGAAAGGACTGTGTATTTTCATTTACTGACTGCAATTCTGGGTTTGTGAAATGTAAACACAATCTCAATTTAAGGCCCCAAGAACTTTATCTTGCTTTCAGGTAGGACAGTACCAAACTATCTTAATTTACATTTTAAAAATGGTTTGAGCACTTAGCTCAAAATAACAAACCAGAGAGGACAACTACTGACAACTGACTTGAGAACAACCTGGCAACTCCTTAGAACAGCTTTTAAAACATACACCTTTCTTCCATACAGGAGGCCATGAAATGGAATAAAAATGGAGAGAAATGGAACAGATTTGTGCATGAGAGTGGCACTTACATCTCCCAGATGTCCTCGGGGAGGTTGGCAGGGATCTCTGTCAGGCCCCTGCCCCTGCAGTCCACCACGTTGTTGCTGCAGGTGCAGGCGGAGGGGCAGGAGACGGAGCTGGCGCTGCACGACGGCGGCTCCGACTGGGGGCCTGCACACGAGGAACACATTCCAGGCTTTAGAAAATGATTGTGAGGCTTTAACAACAAAATACATCAGGCTGTGGGTTTAGCAGATCATTTTACTATACAAAGTAATCGTTTATTTGCAAGTGAATATAATATTCTACAAATCAGCTGCAGAGAAAATATGTTAAAGTGTGTGTCGCAGACATCTTTTCATGAAAAATCCTTTCCTTAGGATTTTTCCTCCTGAGAAGCTGGGAGGCCTCAGGAACAAAATGTAAACAATGGTTATCTGCTGCTGTGGAATGCAACAGGTGCATCTGTGATTGGTCTCATGTTGGATGTTTGTAATTAATGGCCAATCACAGTCAGCTGGCTCAGCTCTCTGTCCAAGCCACAAACCTTTGTTATCATTCTTTTTGTACTCTTAGCTAGCCTGCTGATGAGAACCTTTTCTTCCATTCTTTTAGTATAGTTTTAATGTAATATATATCATAAAATAATAAATCAAGCCTTCTGAAACATGGAGTCAGATCCTCATCTCTTCCCTCATCATCATCTCAGACCCCTGTGAGCACGGTCACAAGTGTGTTCTTATTCCTCTTAGTCTCCACTCTATCAATCTCTTCCCCTCATGAACACTTTCTTCATGCTCACCCATATCAATACATTCAAAGATTTTTAAATTAAGCTTTAGAATCAAGTAGCATTTCCAAATTTCAAAAAGTTATCTTTCTCCAGAAGTTTCCATTACACAAACACTTCTTGAGTACTTTTACATACCGAGAGAAGACTCTCATCAGAGACAACTTATGTTTTTGAAATATGGAAACCTGTTATGGTGTGAAGACTGAGAACACAAATCCAGGTTTTTTTTCTTTTCAAGATTAGTGTCAATGCAGTTAATGGAAACATAAAAAAAATTTAGAAAAACATAAGTTCAAACTTTCAAACTCTTGCTTAAGCTAGACACAAAGACACAAAGCTACACACAGAGCAGAGGTGTAGCACAAGGACATTGCTCCATACAAATTCTAGTCAATTCATTAGATTCAGGCTTAATTAAGTGTCATTACATTTTTTTTGAAACTGTAGTAATTATGTCAATTTTACTCAAATGGTTATGATTCCTACATTTAAAGTTTAGATATATGCATACATTTAGCCATAGATAAAATGGGTTTGCTATGCTAATTGAGGTTATCAAGATGTAGCAGTTATTGGTTTATTTATAGTGAGTCATATTTCCAAAGTACATGGAACACAAGAAGCCTCAAAAATCTTTATGTTGAGATACAGATGGCTAAATGTGAAGGTTTGTAAGGCTGGTAAGAAGTGACAAAATTCATGAGAGATTGGCCTTTTGGGTGGAAAATTAAACACATCATAGTTGTCAAAACATGAATACATACAAGAATGTGGAAATACTATTCACAAAGCTGTTCATTCTTGGGGTTTTTTGTCTTTGAAAAGACCCATGATGGATACTTCCATATATTCTAACTACAACTGACAAGAAGTTTAAAGAAAAGAAAAAAATTATTTGCACCAACTTGTAATTCAGTGTTCATTAGGACAATTAGAGATTTTATAAAAATGTAACATTCCTATACATTTCCTCTCTTGTTTTATGCTTCCATACTTGCTTGGCTTAGCTCCTAACTGCACAGCAGTGTCAGCTTGTACAGAAAGCTACACATGTCCCTGCTTTCACAACCTTGTAACCAGCACAGAAAAGTCAACATCCCAAAGAGATTCCAGTGGCATCTCTAAGGATCATTATTGTCAAAGGCAGACACAGTTTGAAAGGACATCAGCTGAAAACTTCTGCAGGTGACTTTACACATGCAGAGTGACCCCTCCTGGAAAGCAAAACACAATTTCTGTGGAATCATCCCTTCCATTGGAGAGGTGTTGAACTCTGAGGGAATTAATTTCAATTTGTCTGAGTTTCCTTAAGTTCAAGCATGCTGTCATGCTCTTTAAATATTATTTTGTAACCAGGGATGACAGAACTGCCTTATACTCAAATATAATGTTGAGTTTCAGGATAAGATCACCATTTTAATTGCAGGCAAAACATTGCCAAATTTGAATACTGGGTTTGAAATATTTTTATCGGTTGATCACCTGACTTTCTGTCAGGACACCAGAGAAAACTCGGGGTTTCATAGCACTGAGTTTTAAACACAGATAAACAAATTAACACGGATGTTAATCAGAGCTCTGAGTGGCTGCATTTGGCAGCCCAGACCTCACAGCTCCAATTCAGAAGTTAAACTTTAAGAAGTAGCAACCATGTAGAAATAAATGGATCTCACAGGAAATTTGTGCACGGGCAGGGGTCAAATATATTCTTTATGAGAGTGGGCAGCTGCTTCCACCATGAGATCACCCTAATGACCCTTTCTCTCTGCTAAAATACCCTCTCATTTATAGTCCACTCTCCAGCCACATTGACAGCTGCAGGTAAGGAGTTTTCCATCATATTTCCATCATGAGTCTTTCATCTCATGACAGAGACCATTTTAGTGTCACCCTGAAGAATAATCTGGGCTAAAAACTACCGTAAAAAGAATTCAATAATGCAATAAAAATCTAAATCCATATGCATATGGTCCAAAGAAACAAATTCATATTTATCAAGCAGCCTGAACTTTGATTTTTTCCAGTTTCAAAATCTGATTATTGGCTTAACACAGTCTGTAGACATGACCATGCATTTAACACAGAAGTTAGGTGGTAGCTGTTTGAAATAAAGAGGAAAAACCAATGTCACTAATTAAACATGTACATGTGTAACAGGCAGGACAAGCAGCTCTCCTGGGTTTGTTTTCTGTCCATGGAAATGCAGGGCACACATACCACCACTGTCTGTTATTAGAATTGCTGCAAAATTAACAGAAATCTGCACAACAGGACTGCCAGCTTTGCCTTTCATGGAGTCTAAGGTTTCTGTAGGACTTTAACTGTGACTGCTTCCAAAAGCGGTTTATGTTGCCTCTGCTGTGTCTGTGTAACGACAAGAGGTTTGTTCTTGGCCCTGATTTTACCTACATTTACCTACATTTTACACTTTCTCTTTGTCTGCCCACCCTCTGGTACAATGGCCAAAGCAAAACAAAAGATTGAGTGAGTGCAAACGAGCTACTGCAAGCTTTTAGGGACAGAGAGAAATTATCAAATTAGGAACAAACTTCAGAACAATCCTTGCTCTCTGGGAGATAAAGAGCTGGCAACAAGGTCAAATCTTCCACACAACCATCAACATCTCCATCTCTGATGTCTTTCTGCAGGGACTTTGTAGCAGGGTAAAACTGCATTTTGCACAGTTGTAACACCACAATATACCACTGAGTCAGCCATCAGCACAGCACTGCCAGGTCCACCTCTAAACCACATCCCCAAAGCACAGCAAGCACATTTCTATCTTCTTCATGAGCAAAAGCAGATCTAGAATGTAAGTTTATGAGATTTTTAGTGATAAAAAGATTTTGTGTATAAATTGCTATTATTCTGAAGAAATGCTTTTGCTTATGTTTTTCTTTTGCAAAGAACAAAATACTGTATTGCACATGCACACTCAACAGGTATCCAGCGCATCAGCTCTCACACAAAAAACCATCTGTTAAGGTCAATGTTTCTTGAATAACATTAGAAACAGAATTTCAAATCTGATTTGGAGTTAATGGCCTCACTTCAATGAGGATCCATTGTTTGCAGATCTATAGAATTAAAGCACAAAAAAATCCAAGGGAGTTTAATCAGTTTGATGTTTGTATTGTTGTGGAGAGCTGTTTAAAAAAGACTGGTCAAGAAAACAAGTCTAAGCAGGGTATGGAATATAAAGTTAATAAAATTTGGTTATGACTTCCATAGGTTTGCAGAGTATAGGCATACAGATGATCAAGGGTCCTGATGCAACACAGCCCCTAAAGAGGGGTATCTGAAACCTAAAAATTAATTTTACTTCTGCTGCCAAAACTTTTTCAAAAGAAAAGACACAGGAAAGGTAGAAATATTTCAAGATTTCTCTTTGTGTCCTTCACAAGTGCAGTAAACTCCTCACAGCATGGCTGCAGCGAAAGGAAATGGCCACAGACAAATCAGCTACATTTACATTATTCCCCTTCTGAAGTTGTTTTCACAATCTGTCATCATGCCATTGCAGATTTTTTATAATACACAGCAGCTCTAGTTCTCCACCACGTTAATTATATTTTTCTCTGAGATAAAAATCATCAACTCAATCATACATTTTGCTGAAAGAAAAACACTAACAAAATGTGGAAGCCAGGGTAGGAGCATGATTAACAAAAATTACTATGCTTTTTTTACCTGATGCAGTGGAATGACAGTGCCAATAATTACAGCAGTTAATATCTGGCACCACCTCACTTTACAGCCTCAGACTTTGGGTTAGGGGAAAAGAGGAAAGAGAGGGGAGACTTAGGACCCAGATGTTTACAGAGAAATCAAATGCTTTTTTCAAGTAAGTCCCTCCTTGGCCTCTTTTAAAAGCAGCAAACAGACTAATATTACAATTAGAATAGAATTGTTATGGTGTATAAATGAACAGTTTAAATGTCACAGGCATCGAAAATAAATTTTGCAATTACTAAATAAACGAAATAATCTCATTTGCAGTGACACCCAATTACAGCACACTAAGGAGTGTGTTTTATTACCTCCTCACCTATCCAATCACCTCTGCAGCAGCTCCTTCCCACCAGTAAAATATTAGTTATTTGTAAAACATGTCAATGGATTTTAAGATAAATCTGACAGGACTTCCTGGTTATAAACCTGTGCTGACTTTACATCATTTGAAGTAGATCAGACACAAAATTATTGATCAATAAACAAAACACTACAAGTATTGTAGATCTAAGGATATAGTATGACCTTTTTGGGTGTAATTAAATAACCCGTTGGAAGTTCTGACCATGCTGGGATATCTGAAATCAATTCCTACTGCATGAGCCATAGTTTGCACTAGATAGCCAGTGATATGAACTAATTTATT